GATAAAAGTATGAAAGGGACTCATGCTCATGAAGTGAAATTCAAGAGGATCACAGAAAGACACAAACAAAACCCACAAGCCTGTAAACATTCATTATGAAAACACTCATATATTCTTCCTCTGTTCATTTGATTCCTTTTCATTTCTGGCCTGAGACAAGCAATTGAAAGGACTAGATGCTTGATTTCTCTCAGTTTATGGCTGAGTTGTTGCAGCAATCAGATACCAACATGCAAGTGTGGGCCAACAGATAGTGATATTTTCATATATCGATTTCTTTTTGCAAATCTCTTCCAAAATAATCTTTGCTGTGCTGATTGTGGGTGAACAGTATGTTGCAAATATTAGTAATCCATGCTGCGTTGGTTAGTTGCATAAGTCTCATGCTGCTGTTTCAGATCCCTGCTGACAGTATGGGTTGTAAATTTTACCATCAAACTTTGCTCTGGCAAAGAGTCAAACATTCAACCTGAATATTCGCTGTCTGTGAGCATTCCCAGTATTAAAACTTGGGCACTTGAAAGATAATGGAAAGTCAGCCCCCCAAATTGTTGCAAAAATGACCCAATCAGAATGTACTTTAGAATTTTAACAAATATTTCCAAACAATCTCTCCCTACTGTGTTCACAGCCGTGCCCACTACTATCTACTCTACAAAGCAATTTGCAAAAATCAAAATCCCTACCCTGCACATGCAAGTGTTTATATTACAGTAGCACCTAACGGTCCCAAATGAGGCCAACGCTCCCTTGTGCTAAGGGCTGTCCATACACACAAGGGATGTCTACACATTGAGCTGGGGGCGTAATTCCCAGCTCACGGAGACATACTTGTGCTAGCTCTGATCAAATTAGCATGCTAAATATAGCTGCAGCAGCACAAGATGCTAGGCGCCTACACAGGACAGCTAACCCTTGGCGCCATCTTCACCACCATGGCGACCCTCTATTTTAAGCATGCTAGGTCAGAGCTAGCGTGGGTACATCGCCTTGAGCTGGGTATCACACCCCCAGCTCAAAATGTAAACATATCCTGCATGAGAGACGGCCCCTGCCTCGATAAGCTTACCCTATAAAGAAACTACAGAGACAAAGAGCAGGTGGGGAAACAGAAGGGTAGAGAGGATAGAAATCATAGAATATTAGGGTTAGAAGGGACCTCAGGAGGTCATCTAGTCTAACCCCCTGCTCAAAGCAGGACCAATCCCCAGACAGATTTTTGCCCCAGTTCCCTAAATGGCCCCCTCAAGGATTAAACTCACAACCCTGGGTTTAGCAAGCCAATGCGCAAACCAATTGTCCAAACTCATGCAAAGCTGGGATTAGAACCCAGGTCTTTATCCTCATCCAGTGCCCTATCCCCTGGCCCATGCTGCCTAGCCAACTAGTTGCTAGTGCTGCAGGGTAAATCTCATTGAAGGCAAAACTGGTGACCTGTCAGTGCAGCGAGTGAGTCTCATCTAGTAGGTGAACTAGAAAATATTTATTGGTAAGAGCTGCTCAGGGAAGGCTGGGGTGGGGAAGTTCATTTTGGAATTCACGTCATCTTCTTGCCCGCGCAGTCGGAAAAGAATCGTGCAGCTTCCCACCTAGCTACAGAAATCACTGGTGCCTCCTCGGAATCCCAGGTCTCTTTCCACAAGACACTGAACACGTTGCCACAGGCACATAGTAAAAAGCAGTAAATCGCTCCTCTGCTTGATGCTGAGGCATTGAGGGAAGTAGGTATGTCTCTGTCCTCAAACCCTGGGGATGAAGTGGTGCAATTCTTAGTGCTGTGTGCTTCCTCTGGGATTTTACATCCAGGAGCTGGGCTGAGTTAGAATCAGGCCAATTACTGAGAGAGGAATGAAGAACAGAGGAAAAACTCAGCTCTTACTCAGTGCCTCTGCCATGACGGGTGCAGGTTTTGGTGTGCGGTGCGTGTTTATTTGGAGTATTCACACGTGCAACACTTACAATGATGGGCAGCTGAAAAAGATGCAGTCATTGCTGCGGGGTCAGTCAGGGACTGTAATGTTTCCCTTTGTTCCTCCATGGCAGCAGAGGTGAGAACACACACTGTTCTCAGAGCACGTGTGGGCAAATGTGATCGTTCCCTCACAGATGAAGCTGTCACAACATGTATGCCCAGTTTGGGGAGAGACTGTGAGCTTCATTTGCTGCTCCTGCATTGGAGAATCGAGACAGAAGGACATTAATGTGATGCACGGATGCAGATTTCTTTATTAGTGGAAACCTTTAGGTGTTAATATTGTCTGTGAAAAGAAATCTTGTGGCACCGGCTGTGGCATATCCACTTAAAATATATCCCAGAAAGCAGTGCACACATTACAGGAATTTCCTGTGAACCAGAACCCAAGTGAATCCGGAAGCACAGAATGCCTTTGGTGATTGCCTGACAAAACTACAGTTGTTTGAAAGACTGAGTTTCTAATGAGCAACAGAGTAACAAAGGCCTCTTCAACGGATCCTATGTACAGACCCCAAATATATCTCCCATAAGAGCTAAGATCCTCTCTACAAATTCTTCCACAAGAATGAACCCTGAAAAAAAGATACTTGCGTTAGGATCTCAGGTCACTAGCACTATATAAGGTGAATTCATCCTCCCCAAACAATAGCCCATAATGAGGCTTGTCGGCAGCCTAGTTAGCGTTTGGCCCATCCAGCTCTCTTAGTCAGGAGAAGGGCAGTTCTCATTGGCCACTGGTTTCTATGCTGCTTCCTGGGAACATTCCCTGCCCTGAAATTTGGGCTGGCTGTGAGGTGCCACTCCTTCCTTGATATAAAGGGTGACAATCCTGTGAGCCACTGGCTCTTTGCCACTGCAGTATCAGAAGATTCTGCTAGATGTCACAAAATTCCCTAATGGTACAGAGACATTCGCAATACTGACCTGGCTGGATTGGATTGAACTGAGAGGAAGGTGATGCCAAACTGTCTGAGAAATCACCAGAGAATTCCTTCTAGTGCGCACCCCATCTCCTGAGGGTGGGACAAATAGGCAGAAATCCATCTGAGGACCATTGACTTAAAAATTGAAGTAGGTGGGAAATAGATTCCCCCCCCCCATAAAAACTTTTGAGACATCAAAGAAATGTTCCTGTCCTGAACCGGGATGAAAAGTCAAAATCTCAAACATTTTCATAAATCAAAAGAAAAGTTGGTTGGGGTCAATCAAAAAGTTTTGTTTCAATTTTGGCCATTTTGTATCCTTTTTTTTTTAACTATAATTAGTTTACATTTCTAAACAGAAAGACATTTAAAATCCGAAAATAGGAATTTTTCATTTTTAAAATATGTTTTGACAACTTTGAAACTTTTTTCCCCAAAACATTTTTGAGTTGACACATTGCTTGACCCCCAACCCTTTCTTACATTTTGTGTCCAACAAATTGGCATTTTCCTATGAAAAAAGGTTTTGTTGAAAAATTCCCAGCCGTATGAGCTCCAGGAGGGAAAGTTGCTTTCATGAGAGATGAATCCCTCGCCACAGGTGCTAAGAATGTATCTTTCCTCCTGCTTGTTTGTCGCTGATTTCAGAGCCTGCCATCTGGCTGGACCCATCTTTGTAGCAATAAACAAGATATAATGTGCATTCCCTAGGTTATTGCGCTCTCTGCCTTGGTTCTGTCAGGAAATGTCGTCTTCATCTCAGCAGCAGAGATTAAACACTGTCCACCTCCTGTTGTGTCCTCAGCCTGTTAAATTCCCGACATTCCTCTGCCTAGAAAGCTGCATTCAACTCACAACAGGTCACAGCATCTCAGAGCTCTGTGAAGCCACTGCTCTTTCCTCCTTCGTATGATGGCTCTCTGAGCTCATGGAACAGAAGGGAAGGGGCCATATTGTACTAATGCAGCCCAAGGTGAACTTTCACATCATTGTCCTGGAGAAAGAGGGAGGAGGTGCAAGAAGAACAATTTGTGATAGATCCAAATGGATGCAAGTGGAGGCGGGGCGGGATACAGGAAGGTCTTGTGGCTAAGGCAAGGGGTCAGTCCCCATCCCCGCCACACACTTCCTGTGTGATCTTGAGCGAATGGCCTTAACCTTTCTATATGCATCCGAAGAAGTGGGCTGTAGTCCACGAAAGCTTATGCTCTAATAAATTTGTTAGTCTCTAAGGTGCCACAAGTACTCCTGTTCTTCTTTTAACCTTTGGTGTGACTAGCATTGTACTTTCTCTGCCTCATGGGGGCGTCGTGAGAATAAATTCATTAGTGATTTTGAGGTGATCAGATGCTCTGGTGACTGTGAGGCTGGGTAAATAACTAGCTAGATGGAATGTCTACAGTCAGTTAACATAAAGTGATGTGATGATATGGAGACAAGTGCCAGGTATATACCTAGACAAATAGAATTCAGACTGGGGTATTTTCAGTGTGCCGAGTTTGCCAGAGAACACCATTAATCACTGAACATTCCTGTGGCCATGGATTTATTATAAGCAACATCTCTGTGGCAAACTGTTTCTTCCCCCATCAGCAACATGAAATGGATATTAGCATAACACTGGTAGATTATGGCTAATGATATCCCACTCAAGCTGTTTTTGAGTTAAACATCACTCCTCCTGGCAGTTGTGAGAGAAATGGCACATTTGGGAAGACAGCCCTTATATAAACATTAAATGTTTATGGGCTTCATCTTGATGAGTGTAAAGTAACTTTTCTCTATCAAGATGAAGAGGTCAGAAGATAAGTTCTTTGACCTAGAGCCCAGTTCCAGAAAGATCCTTAGATTAGCAGAGAAGAAACTGGGCATGATGGATGGCTCATGTTTGAATTTATTTTTGGTTTTGTTGATGGATGACCATTCGGTGTCTTAAAAAAGAGCCCTACCAGTGAGATATTTCTATAGGATTCTTGTTGAACTTTCCATGAACTAGTGACACACTGCCCTCTCAAGACCTTTTCATCCAGAGACCTTTTCATCCTTTTCATGCTGCATTCCTCAAAAGCAGTCTCACATGGAAGCTTCATTTACATCAAAAATCAGCAGAGGGATGGGAAGTCCACAGGAAGGGAAGAACTGTATGAGGTCTCTTGAAACAAGTTCATTGAACTTTGGAAGATATAAGCAAGGACAGAAGCCATCTTTGGCATCCAGCACTTGGTGACACAAGGGACCAGAACTCTTGCAAGCTGAGAAAGATGGGTCCTTCAGCCAAGGGGGCTGAAGTCTCTGGGAATGGGAAACTGGTAAGGAAACTATCTTGAACAAAGACTATAGCTTATTAACTTAGGTCTTAGCCATTAGCAAGGGTATTTTTACTTTTGTTTGCTTGTAATCCTTTCAAACTTCATTCCTTCTACTTGGTATCACTTTAACTATGTCCTTTTGTTCATAAAATTGCTTTTTTTAATAATAAACCAACTGAGTGCTGTGCTTGAAGGGAAGGGTGTATTTACCCCAGTTAAGTTAATAAGCTGTGATGTGCTTTGGTCTCTTTAAAGGAGCAAATGAACCTTATCATTTCCCTGAGTGTTCCAGGAGAGGGCTGGACATTTGTTTTGGGGAAAACTTAGGACAGGGCTTGTGTTGAGGTCCTCTTGTCAGGTGTAAGCAGAGTGTGCCCTGGGGGGAGGGAGGGAAACAAACAGGCTGCTGCAAACAGAGCTGCTTAACCCACACACAGTGCAAGTCTATACGCTGGCTGGGAGCATCAAGACAATAGAAACACAGCAGCAGAGCCTTTGAAGCATTTAGAGTTACAGGGCAGGCAGTGACACAACCCCTTATTGGTCTGGATTGCACCCCAGAACGTGACAGAGATATACCTGGATAATCCTGGCAAGTTACCTGCATCCACATGCTGCAGAGGAAGGCAAAGAACCCCCCAAAATCACCGCCAATTTGGTCTGAGGAAAAAATCCTTCCCAATCCCACATATGGCAACCAGTTAAGCCCTGAGAGTGTGAGCAAGAACCAGCCAGCCAAGCACTTGCAAGAGAGAGAGACTGCTTGGTGCCACCTCAGAGCCCTGGCACGCCCCATCCAACATTCCATCTCCAGCCCCCTTTGGAAGTGCTACTCACGAGGGATTATTCCCCTTTGGAAGTGCTACTCCACACGAGGAGTATGGAATGGCTGCCATATGAGAAGAGATTAATAAGTCTGGGACTTTTCAGCTTGGAAAAGAAACAACTAAAGAGGGATATGATAGAGGTCTATAAAATCACGACCAATGTGGAGAATGTAAATATGGAAGTGTTATTTACTCCTTCTCATAACACAAGAACTAGGGGTCACCAAATGAAATTAATAGGCAGCATATTTAAAATAAACAAAAGGAAGTATTTTTTCACACAACCTGTGGAACTCCTTGCTAGAGGATGTTGTGAAGGCCAAGACTATAACAGGGTTAAAAAAAGAACTAGATAAATTGATGGAGGATAAATCCATCAATGGCTATTAGCCAAGATGGGCAGGAATAGTGTCCCTAGCCTCTGTTTGCCAGAAGCAAGGAATGAGGGACAGGGGATGGATCACTTGATGATTACCTGTTCTGTTCATTCCCTCTGGGGCACCTGGCATTGGCCACTGTCGGAAGACCAGATACTGGGCTAGATGGATCTTTGGGCTGACCCAGTATGGCTGTTCTTATGTTCTTAAAATAAATAAAAGTAACCAAAGGAAAAAGCCATTAGGGTTGTTTACAGGCGGCTGCCAGAAATGCCCTCATTTTTCTGATATATTAAAAAGATAGAACTTTATTGGTGGTGCTTTATCACACTCCTTCCCTGCAGTGTCTTTCCCTCTCTGGAGTTATTAAGCCATGTAAAAGGCCAGTGTACGGGGCGTTTGCTTTGCTTTTTTCCACACTTTTCCTTTTCTTTTTTTTTTATCGTGATCTCTTGGGAACAAATCACTGAAAATGCTATTGAAAGTCACTGACGGCAGAGCCCGGGCAAACTCTCTGATAAGAGAGCCACTGCTGATTGCTTGGGGAAGGGAATGATAAGCACCAGGCCAGAATTATTTATATATAGCGAGAACCACCAAAGTTGTAGAGTAAGATCTTAAAGTGACCAAAACAAGCAGGCAGCTCGCATGCCTTTGTTCAGAACATGATTGCTCCAGGGGATGGAGTTCTGAGAAGGTGAACTGCAGCTTCAAGACACCCAAACCAACTGCACTGATTTGCACCAGTTGAGGATCTGGGGCACAAAGTGTCTCCTCCATTGCTTGGATTCTTGACCTTCAATGGGAAAATCTTCAGGAGTCTTTCCCCCCAAGACACAGCACTAGTGATTTGTTCTGTGTTTACTAGCAACGATACCGTACTCCGGTGTGGGGTGAGACTGCATAACCAGCCTCCACAGCCACTTAGTTGGCCAATTGTGGCTTTGGGATTATGCCTGGCGAGTGCATGCCACCTGTGGCGATATTATACAGCTAAATCACACCATGCCAGTCTCATGGCTTACCCGCAGGTTGGTTACAGACCAGATTTTATGTCTCCACCCACCCACAATGGGAACTTATGAGTATTTTCCTGTGTGCACAGCCATGCAGCTACCCTTTGCAGGATATACCATTGCACCTTATGCCTTTGCTTAGCATTCCGTCCCCACTGAAGGGGAAAACGTCATGGTCCATGAGCACCACAAAGGCACAAGTTATACACTGAAAAGAAATGGACTCTTGACAATGCGCAGAAAGGTGGAGGCTATCCCTGGAGCCATGTGTCCCTGACCTGTGAGTCATACTTCTGCATCCTACCCTGCTATAATTTCCCCTGGAGATTTAGAGCGGTTATACTGTCTGTAGCATTGTCCTACAGATTTCTGCAGCCATATAAACACTGCCTTATTACGTGTTACAGCACTACAGCGTCTTGTTACCAGTGACCACATGTTTTGTAATAATACTCAAAGGCTTTGTTGGCCGTTGGCTGATCTCTTTGTTTGTGTATCAAAAAACTGCTGTTTGTTTTCGTTTATGGACATTATTGTTCATACACTTGAATAGAAAGATGCATCTGACATGAGCTCATATATTATACATGCCTGTAACTGACTGTCTTCAATTTCATAGTACAAAAATCAGAAGGGATAAAATCATGTATAAGACTCCTGCTTAGATACGCTGGTGATAAGCTCAATAGAAATGCCCACATAAAATAATTAATTACCACTCTATTTTAAAACGGATTTATAAAGTGGTCTTTACGAAATGAAGAATCTGACTGGCTGATCAAAGTGGCAAATTTCTGACTCTGCAGTCGTATACTATCCCATGCAACCACATGGCTCGAGATTCATTAGCCAAACACTATAAAAGTGCAAACAATATATTGCAAAAAGCAAGCTAGAAACCCAGTTAGACTCAATTTGGTGAAGCCTCATGTTGTTTTCTCTCTTGCTGTAAATTGTTCTGCGGGGCAGTGTAGGAAAGGCACTATATCAAAATAAATTGAAGCAAATAGATAACGGCTCTTCTTGGGGTAATTGAAATTACTTGACATTTGACTTTATGACTCACAATACCCCTGAGGCATGTTTAGCATTCACTATACCTGCTCAAAGTGCTACGCTTTGCTGATTACTGAATACTAAACAGTGTTCAGATTATTAATAGATATTGCAATTTAAATGTCTTTAGTTTCTGCCTATATATTTTATGGTGCTATGAAACTTCATAGATATAGTATGTTTCATATGTAGGGTTTTCTGGACCTTCCTTTTAATCAGTTGGTACTAGCTAGTTGCAGAGACAGAATACTGGACTAGATAGATTACGGTTCTGATCCAGGCTGGCAGTTCCAATATGCACATCTGGGTAGATGATGCCTGTATGTATAGGTATCTATGCTGTTTGGCGTGGATGATATGTAGACTTGATGGAATCTGATTATTTTTTTTTGTATAATTTTGACATAATATTGATGTTAATTTTTAAGCCTTTTTTCTAATTTTTATCAATTTAAATTTTCACTGTTGCACAAAATTAAGAGGTTTAAACTTTCTTTCCTGTTTTTATTGATTTACATTTTCACAGTTGAAGGAAATTAAGGGGTGGACAGACAGTGAAGGGGGTTGTCGGACACAATAATTATTTAATGACTGTAAACATTGAGATTCAAAACATTAAAGCTTTATCAACATTAAACCACAGAGTCACATGTCAAGATATTCAAAGTGAATATACTTAAATCAAACTCGAACAAGTTCTCAACTAGCATTTTTCTCATATTGTCTCTCTGTACATTTTTATTACAACGATGGGAAAAATCTTTTCATCGGTTTGTGTGTGTATGGTGAAATTTATGTTTACCAACATTTACTGATAAAACTCTAATCCTTTGAAGCCTAATGATATGTAAAATAACCCTGTATATGAAGACTCTTGGAATTCCAGGGTGATTTAAGACTCAACTCTGAATTTCTTGGTTCCTTAGTGCCATTTGAAGTTATACTTTTATCTTTGAATAGAACATTTAGTATTCTAACATCTTTAATTTCTACCCTGATAGCTATTCTGCATATATGAAGCTGTGCATTATTTAGAGATAAAGGGAAAATTTTAAGATATTAGAATTATATCACATACATTTTGTACATTAGTGATAAGAATTATTACCAGCTGAGAAACTTAGTACTGAACAAAAGCTACAAACTAATTAAGCCATGATTAATATTCAAGTGTTTCAGTCATTACAGCACCAGCTCTTGTGATATAGATTTGTTTTAGGAAAATTGAATAAACAAAATGAATCTGGTCTGGAGAAAGATGTTGAAAAAACCACTGATATGTGCAAAGACTAAAGGATGGAGCTAAATGCTGAGAATTCTTGGTTTATGGACCTTACTACATAGAAATCAACTGCAGGGGGGCATTGTTTAGTAATTAACATAAAGCCAGGAATGATTCAAGAGCTGGGCTTAAATTGTCATAGAGTATTTCCTGGAGCCCCATCTCCCGCAACATGCTATAAAAATCCAATGGGGTTTGAAAATATTTACCTTAGCTCCACTCTGGACAGCTTTGGCTGAATTTAACAGACCTGGGTTCTATTCCATCTCTGTCAGCTGACCTGCTGAGCAATCTTGGGCATGTCACTTTGTAAAATCTGTAAAATGGGGTTAATGACAGTGACCTACCTCTGGTCTTGTGAAACCTAATTAACTAATGTTTACACAGCAGTTTGAAGCCTTTGGATGAAAGATTCTGTTGTAGTGCCAAGGATTATTAATTT